AAAACTTACTCTTGGGTAAGAGACAACAGCCTACCCTCAGGCTCAAGACAGCTTCTTATAAATAGCTCCAAGTACTCTATAGTTCTCTTAAAAGTCCTTCAAACACTTCCTCTCTTCATACTGAGTCTCAAAAAAACTTAGTAACTGATGCCTTGAGGTTATAGGTGTTACTGATCCCACTGCTAAGTATAGTTTCCCATGTCTTAAACTGTGTCACCTGGGTCTCGGACTGCCTCTTTTGTCTGTGTTTCTACTAGAACTAGCTCAACGCTGTTCCAGTCTTGTAGCTACGGTTAATAGTGATGACACACATATATACACACAAACTGGAACAGGATGTGGTTTAACCTGTAGCTTGCAGCTGTGCTGATTCAAGCTTCAAGGACTTTCTTCTATCTTAAATTTCAATGGACAGATTGCCCAGCTTTCAAGCCATTAGCTGTTCTTATTATTTACACTCCATAAGCATAGAGGAGTTCTATCTATATAGGCAAAGACTTGGCTGAGAGTTTGCAGCTCTCTTAGAAGTCTAATACAGGTAATGTTAGCCAAAGAAATAACAAAAAGCCTCAAGAGTTATGAGCCATGAACATGTCTGTTCTGCAAAAGCAGAACAGATTACTAAGCTCAGGTCGGTGAAAATCTTCAAAACCAATACAGCAGCCAATCTCTTCCTAATGATGTCCATAGAGAGCTGATCAGTGACAGCAAAAAGAAGCAAAGGCTAAGCTCTTCTGGGAAAAACAAACAAAAAAGCAAATAACAAAAAAACCCCTACCTTCCTATCACTTGTATGTGCTGGCAGAGTTAGCTTTTGAATTTTTATTTCTTTCAAGTGTTTTGCTGGGAGCAGTGGATTAGTGTTGTAGATTCATGCTCTGTCAGTACGTAGCAGGTACATCTGATCCTGCCTTGGAGTGCAAGCTGGATGCTCTCTTAAGATTCATTTTTCATGAAACCATGAGTTCTATGTGGCAATTAAATAAATAAATAAATCAAATGCTGACCACGCTTACTTGCTTAAAGGTCTTTGAAGTGATACAACTTAGTCAGAGCTAATCCACAGCCTGAGGTTGTAGCTTGCACGCATCTGTTCTTCTGGGGTACACAGCACCATGTTAAGAATTCCTCATACTCAGAAGCTGCTTTGCTTTTATTGTACTATCATAAATTCACATGGTTAGAATTGCTCAAATATACAACTCATAAACTGCAGCTTAATATATCCCCGTGCACCAACTCAGACTCCGTAGCTGTTCTTAGGCATAGCTATCTCCATCAAATGCAAGACAGCAGCACTTAAACTATTTGCAAAGAAGCTAAATATAAAAACGCCACTATTTTTTTCAACCTGAGAGCAGTGTACTTCACTGGTTACTACAGCCCAGGGAGCTTATGGGAATCTTACACATAGGTGAGTTCTAAGCTATAGAGAAGATGTGCGTGTACACCAGTGTAACAGTCTTGAGACCTTGCACTCTCAATCACTAAGACTGTAAAAAAAAAAAAGTTACTTTCTAGCAGAATCAATTGGGTTCTGCCTTACCTGTCTAGAAAGGAAGATGGAGCAAATAAGACGCTGAGTAGTACTTCCCTGCCTCGCTTTGTGGCCAGCTGGATTGCTAACGAAGCACCAGGTAAGCTGCAATAGCTTACAGCTCAGTATTCAAGGGCACACTGAAGCCAACGCCAGTTTACCCATTCACACAGTAGGAGGAGATGAGCAGTTGGTATGGTTCTGAGGTCAAACAACATGTGGTTCTTATTCCTTCAATCATCTGGACTGTGATGCAACCCACCATGTTGCACCTGATTTCAAGCCCATTTGTCTGGCAAACCTCAGGTAATGAGGGTTCCTGCATGCTCACAAGTTTGTCCACACAATTTAAGGGAGAAAGATGCCAGAAATATGTCGAGTTTCAGCCTGTTCAGTACAAGAAATATTGTGGCATGCTGGGCCAAGTCCAGGGAATGCCACTAAGCTGTCCAGGGAGCTGGGGCACACAGAGCTATGTTCAGTCTGGAGAAGAGATGGCTCAGGTGAGACCTAATTACTGTCTGCGGCTACCTGCCTGGAAGACACAGAGAAGACAAAGCCAGATCTTGGAGATGCACAGGAGTAGGCCTAGAGGCAATGGATACAAGCTGAAACATGGACACTCCAATCATACTGCAGGAAAACATTTGAACAAAATAACATACAAGTTGCCTGAAGAGGTTATGAACTCTCCGTCTTTAGTGTTGTTCAGAATTTGACCAGACAAGACCTTGAGCAACTTGATCCAACCAGACCTGCTTTGAGCAGAGGTTTTGAGACAATAAATGCTGAAAATCTTTTCTAGATCTTGATTACACTGCAATTCTAGAAAACTAGCATTTAGAGCTAAGTTTTCTTAACAGCTCAGTTCCCATCTGAGTGGCACAGTCATTGTCTAGATAAGGTGGGTAGACTGAGTCCAAAGCCGTTCAGAGACATAGTCACAAGGTTTCCTATGGAGAGATGCCAAGTTCCAGCGTCTTTTGCTAACTCTGTCAACTCTTTTAATCTTAGTTTTAAACATAACAAGAGGAGGAATATAAAAATTAAATCCCTACTGGTTGCGTGGGAGACATTCCTTCCAGAATGTTCACTTCCTGAAAAAAACACTGTTTACCCAAACACAGGAAAAGTCCCTAGTTAAGTCTAAAACAATTTAAATGCTAAGCTTAATTTTATTTATCTCTTAAAGAAGAGTGGCAATTCCAAGTAGGCTTGTCACAACAGGAGCACTAACATTATTTATGAGAGACTGCAGTATCATCAATAGTTGTAATACTACTGGAGTATTTGCCTTCCTATAAGCATTTGTATGGGAGAAAAAACCCAATATTTCTTTTAATTATATTTTGTGATTCCAGAAGTTCTTCCCTGAATAGAATCTTTCCCATCTAGTAGGGGGGAAAAAAGCACCATTAATCTTCTTTGGTATAAAGAGGTATATTGGCATATACTCATGTTTGTTGTTGTGACAGTTTTTTGGTGTATTTTTCAAGTGCTTTAATTTTGGTTTTGAGAGTTTTTTTTAAAATTATGAAACCATAATAGAAATAGCCTAGCAAGTTATGCAAGCTCCTGGTGTTTGAAGCTGACTTCATTTGATAAAGCTTCTCTGAGTGCTGTGACAAATAAACATGACTTCTATTTTACAGACTGAGGCCAGGCAGAAGTAGTTTATTTCTGTAGTTACGGGAGAGATTGCAAAGTGACAGAGGTTTAGTCCTTTATTGATGTGAACTCAGAATTGAAACAAACATAATAGGGCTTATACACTTTTACAGCAGGGACAAACTGCTTTGCAGAGGGACCTGATATGGCAGGGCAGTATCTGCACAGAAGGAAAACTTGTTGCAGTGACTTTAATATGTATTCCTGATAAATGGGGATTTACAGCCAGTCAGCCTTTGCTTGGTTCAGCTCATCTTTCTGCCCCTGACTAGCTTTTAGACTCACAAACATGTAGACACAGGACTTCCTTTTTTTTTTTTTTCAGTTTTACTTTAGTTATGAAAGCTTATTCCAGACTAGGTCTGCAGAAGAAAGTCTTCTCACTATGGTTGTACCACTGAGGATGTGAAATCGGGTTAATAAAACAGATTAATGCAAACTCATGCCTGCTAAATACCAGCAAAATGGTCTGCCAAAGAGGAGAACAGTTTTTCTCATTGGGTGATAGATGCACCACAAGAAGCTGCACCTCTGCAAAATATTATCCCCTCCACCTACTCATCTGACAACAGGTCATGTTAAATAGGACTGGCTTCAGACTAGGTGCAGTGACTTAACTCGTGCAATTCCCAAGGCAGGCTGAAGCCAATTTGGCTGAATTTGCCTCAAGCTACATGCGGCAGAGAGCAGGGTGGGAAAGTATTTCACATAATACAAACAGCTTCAGGGAAGGATGTCTCTTTTTCAGTGTTTTCATCTTGTGTGGCTTGCAAAGCCAGCAGGAACTGCGACCCCACGAGGGGGCTCTGCCGGCGCAGGGATCGGTAGCATCGACGCTTCCAGTGAGCAGCTCCCACTGGTCCCCGGTCATATCTTGCCTGGAGACAAGGCTTTTAGTAGGGAGCATTGCTTTTGTGGGAAGTGGCCTTAAAATAAACCTAAATATGCCTGATTTGGTGTGACATGAAAGCATCTCTCACATGTCAGGGTGTCTGAAGCAGTTTAAATTTCAGGGTGTTAAGCTGCTATAGTTGTAGGTATAAACAGGAAAATCAGAATAGTAGTTCCCTCTGGGCTGACTCCAGTGGAAGCAGCAAGTATAGAGGGCATGGTTGATAGTTGCCGTATGATCTAATTGTGTCTGGAACATGTATAAATAAATGGTAACAAGGGAATCACTTGGACGCTTTGTTCCTACTAGATCTCCCCTAGCTAAAGATGCTTGTACCAGCAACAGTTTAAGTCTGGTATAGACAAGACTTTTCAGATCAACCAAGTAGGGCAAATGCTACTGTGTATGAGAAAAATAGCTTTCTCCTATGCAGAAATGAACATGCTGTAAGGGAAGAGGCATTTAAATAACACACACTGATCAAGATAAGACAGTTGAGTTTGGCCTCTTCATATCTTTTGATAAAACCTCCATTAAGATTCTGAAGAGAAAAAAACAGTATAATGGTAATCAGAAAAGTATAAGGAGAATATACATTCCAGTTCAAGGAAAGATTTGTCCCCACAATGCACAGGAAAAAAAAAAATCAAGGAATGAAGGGCATTTAAATGTCATCTTACGTATCCCCTCGAACAACCACCTGGGCTTGTTGGTAATAGCACCGGTCAAACACACAGTGCCTGACACCCCACTGCTATTACTAGCACTGAAAGGAATACAGGTGCAAACAGCCAGCGCAGCAGTGACACAGGAGGATGACACACAGAAACAGCAGCGACAACTTCAGTGGGCTGCTGCTTACTAGCTGGCAGCAGGGACATGCTCCTTCCCCCAGCACTGGGCTCACAGGACCACCATGATGTCTTCCAGGGGCTTTCGGCTCAGCGCGGGCACGGTAGCATCTCGCTTGGGATAGCCAACGGGGAGCAGCAAGAGCAACTTCTCATTTGCTGGGCGCTGCAGCAGCATCCGGAGTTGGGGTCCGCAGTTGAGGGGTGTGGTGGTCACTGTATACAGACCCGCATTCTGCAGCAAGACAGACAGCAAGAGCGTGAGACAGAGGTCTGGGCTTTGTGTATCCATAATTCCCACCAGACTTGTTACACATTCTCCTACTAACTAACTCCAAAAGGCTGTTTCACTACACTCTGCTGCAGGCTTTAGAACATCTGATTTACTAATAGACTCGATGGTACCACAAAAGATGCCTGCTTTGCTTACAGAGTAAAATAAATAAAAGGAAACAATTAAAGTAAATGCTTTAAAGTATAGCATTTCTATAGGGCAGGAACAGCCCATTCCGCCTGACAGGTCTGTGTGCCATACAGCAGGAGCCTGTCTGCAGTGCTCAGTGTAGCAGGGGCCCCATGGCCACAGTGAAGCTGAGAGGCAGCTGTGGGGATATCACAGGAATATCATTCCATAGTGTTCATCCAGGTCATACAGAGAAATGTTTCGGTTCTTGCCTCCATACTGCTAGCAGGAAGATGCCTTATAGCTTTGTGAACATTTGTTCCTGCTCAAGAGCTGCACCTCACAGGGACAGCGGGCACAGACTCCACCTCAGAAGTTGTCACAAGATTCTGTTGCCATTTCTCACAGTGGCCAATATTCTGGCTTACATCAGAACCCCCAAATAAATCTATGTAAATCTATGTATGACCACGCAGCTGAGGCGTTTCCCGAGAGTTGCACATATGGATTTCAGTCTCTCCCTTTATGTAATGCAAGAATTTGGTGAAGCTTTGAGGTATAAAAGTCACCCAGGGAGAGGCGTTCATGCAATGGGCCTCTCATGTTAAGTAAGCTCTACAATCTTCAGAAGAGGCGAAGAGCCAATAGAAGTGGTGCTCAATGTTATGAGTCCACGGCACTGTGTCTTTTAATGCTGTCAATTAATTTCTAGGAGATGGGAAAGAGACAGCCTAACAGGTGGTAGGGAGCCTCAGAAATCCCACCTGATGTTGGACTGGCTCAGGAGAGAGTGGAATCTTGTCACTCGTACTGCTTTTGGCTGAAGTGCTACGTGGTGCTGGTTCTGCCCCATTCTCTGTGCCTCCCTTTGCTCTCAGTTCCATGGAGGGAAAATACAGAACACTGTGCAGCTGTAGAGCAGCAGCACTCCAGCAACATGCTTCTGCCCTGCTCAGTTCTCAGATTTCCCATCCCAATGAGGGAAGGGAAGTGTTGCTCAAAACAGAATGGAGGAGAAATGGAAGTTCCTGGTAGGAAACTGGCCTAATATAAGAGGTGACGCCTTGCTGTTATCCTGCTGATAGGCCAAGTTAACTACTGGAATAGCTTCACTATCTAAGCACTTGAGTGAGAACATCAAAACTGAGTACTGAGAGACCACAGAGAAAATCCAACTGATCTTCAGAAATCAGTTCACTTTCAGAAATGCCTCCGAAGTACTGACTGAAATAGTACAGCCTTTTCTGTGAAATATGTCGCTGATTTTTTTAATTTTCCCCAGAACCGTGTACTAAAACTGACTTGGGGTCAAGCTGTGTTTTAGGGATTACTGAGAACAAGGGGCCAGTGTGGCACTGGAGAGCCATGCTTGGGTGGTCAGCAGATCCTGCCAGCCCTATTAACATAAGACAGAAACTACAGAGGCTAAAGCCTGTTCTGGGAGAAGAGTGACAACTCTGGAAGTGAGCTGAATTATATTTTTCTTCTTAACCAGTATCAAGGACCTGAGTCACCTTGTCAGATGCAGGCCTGTGCAGAATAACTTGAAAACTCAAAACTTGCTTTGCGGGGAACTGGACTAATCCAGAGGACTGACAATATAAAATATAAATTGAGTTCCACCCTCATTTGGGCAGAATAGTCTTGGTACGTAATCCAAACTGATATACTGGCTCCCAGCACCTCAGTTTTGTCAACCTACCTGCAGTGCAGCAAGCAGGATACCACAGGCAATAGAAACACTGATTTCATTGTAGTAGTGGGTCTTCTTTTTGCCATTAGGAAGCCGCCCATATACCTGCTTGAAAATGAGGATCAGATACGGAGCTGTGTCCAAGTACTCTTTGATCCAGTTTGTTCTGCAAAGAATAATGTTTAGGACATTTATTTTGCAACTTTTTCTCTTTCCTGTAAGTCACATTAGCTGTCTGCAAAGGGACACTAAAAGTACATGACAATTATATCAGTAGACTAAAGCTTAGAACATTTACTGCAAAGGATTATCAGCTTAAACAGAAACATTTTTGGGGAAAAAAAAAAAAAAGCTCGAATTGAGTTCTCAGTTTTAACAGATTCAGTTGAGGAGTTGATGTGCTCACTCTGAAGAATGGAATTGTATAAAAATAGGAGGAAGTTCTTGACCTCTTATCTCTGAATTAGTCTCAGGAGCATTTGCTCTTGAGATTATTTAATTCCTGCAATTTTGCAGACTTACATCTCCGTGTTACCAGCATTGCCAATTTTTTGTGCTTGCAGGGAAAACCGCTTGCCTAAAAGTGCAAAACATTTTAGTCTAAAGGTGTAAACCTAAATACATTCCCACAGCAAAACTCATTATTCTCTTTCTGGATATTTCAGCCCTGTTAGAATTCACTTGGTTCCCAATTTTTTTTGATGACAGTAAGTACAATTATCACATTGGATTTCGGTAAGAAAACGTGTGTTTTCTACTGTTCTCTCAAAATACAAAAAGACCTATTAGTTTTTTACCTAGTGTGTAAATTTACATAGCACATAAGTACCTGAAAAATAATGTCATTATGAAACAAGTAAGGCAAGTCAACCCTATAAAGCTCTGTGCATATGCTTCGATAAGACCAGACTCAGTGCATGTCTTCCCATCATGTGAAGTTAGTCAGACCTTAGAGGGAATTTGGAATGTTGCATAATTCAGCACTTGTATAGGAAGAAGCCTTGGGGCTACCTCAGTCAGCAGCAAAGCTTCCAAAAACTTTGGGAGCTTCATTGTTTGGCAAACAACAGGAAAAAACTGGGACAAGAGCTATGGTAACAGAGGTTTCACAGGAGAAGATAAATAAAAATAAAAATAAAAATAAAAATA